ACTTTTCCAGGTTCCAGTGATCCATGAGTGTGTGACCTACCCAGAGACGCTGCTGCATTAATGGTGGCTGCTGCCAGAGCTTCTTCCATTGTCATGCCCAGATTAACGCAAGCAAGGTGCATTGTTAAAGGCTGTTCAGAGATCAATCAAAAAGCCTGTATGTCAACACATCTCTGGCCTTCAGAGCAACACTTCTATGGCACGAAAAGTGGGCTCATTAGACTAACTTTACACCACAAGTCTTCATTAACACTGTACTTCATTGTACATGACATCTTAAAAATAGCACCCAACACCTGCTAAAACTTTTTTGGTTTGAATCAATCTTTTTTTTTTCCCTATGCCTTGCACATAAAAACTAGGCCAAAGGCTGTATGCTCAGGAAGGGGGAATTACTTCAAAACATTTATCATCAGTATAATATTATGATTTTAAAACAAAGTGTGACTTGATAACTGCAAGATAAGTTGTTAGTGGCATCCAGTTAATTGACCCTTACCCTTCCTCAATGCAAGTCTCAAGTTAACATTATTTACAATTATTATGTCGAAACAAAATTTATATGATATCCCATACAATTTAGGTGTTATAATAATTAATATATTCAGACAAGAATTCTTTCAAAATAAAAAAAAAATAATGTGCTACCACAAACAGCACTTTACCATAGATAGGCAGAAGGCATTGGGGTTAAAATCAGATCCAAGAGCTACCGGTACACCTGTTTGAGAAACAAACAAGGTGCTTATTATATAAAGGAGATAAACTGTGGTTCTGCCTCAGTGGGAGAGTAATTAACAGGGTAATTAAGTATTATCAACTGAGTGGATTAAATTGACCACCATAAAGAGTTTAAAAGATGATGTTTCAAGCATTAACCTTTTGTCACTCTGAGGAAAGGCTGACACTCAAAATGTCAGCTTTGAAACTCTTTATAGTGGCCAATTCATGTTATCAACTCAGGTGGGTGATAATACTAAATTACCCTGTTCATTATAAAGAAGAGGACTCTTTGTAAAGCAAAATTCTCTGCTTAGTTTTTGATGGTGGAGCCATTTTCACTCTTTACACTGTTCTCATGTGACCACATTTCTCAATGAAAACTTTGAACAATCAACACCGCTCTTGGATTTGCTATTTTCCAACCAAATTTGAACAGTACACCTTTATGTTGCAAAACAGTACTGTAGATATGAATAGAAGGTGCTTGTCTGATCATTTAGTCTGATCACCTGTTGTTTGTTGTAGTGACTGACAATCTACAACCTGCACAGAAGTCATTGCTCCAGTTGTTAGTCTGATGGCAGGTCAACTGAGAGCAATGAATTCTTCATAATCTCATGGTGATTTCCATCCAGGATGTGAAAACTCCAGTCAATGCTTCAAACAATAGCCCTTCTCAAGACTTCTCCTACTATGATGATCAGAGTACATGATCACTTGAACTGTTGCTTTTAGGATCATCAAATCATTGATCTCCTGCACCACTGATCATATCTTCAAGGGAAATAAGACAGTCACTTGTATTTAATGTATGTACCTGATTCAATCATCTTTCTGGCTGGAGGACATTTAAGTCGCAAGATGTATGCAGTGGTAGGAAGGAGCACAGCAATAACTGATTCTGCAGACATGGCTTGAATTCCCTTGTCACTTACTTCTTCAAGATGGCTTATTGCTCTAGCCTTGAGTTCAGCCCCTAGCTGATGGGGAGAATGATGATCTAAGAAAAACACATAACTTATACACCAGGCGGGAGGTCCGTATGCAAAATAAAAAAAAACACAAAAAAAAACTGTGTGCCAGGTACTGAGTACTCAAGACCAAGGGCACAATTTTCTCAGGAGGGACCGACCTTAAGACTGGTAAACAACTTGTTTAAGTTTTTTTTTTCCTTCCAGTTTTCTCTCTTCCACACTGCCATGAATGACATGGAAAAATTCCTGACCGTTGTCTACTTTATAAAAAGCTGGGTGCGAGCATGTCATTAACCAATGAAATTCAAGAATTTAAGATTCCTGCCTGCTAAGATGCTTCAGAAAAGCAAAGAAATGGGGCACACATCTTCATATCAAAATATTGTTCACTTGTGTTAATCTATAAAATGTTTTACTTTTTAGAAAAAAAGTAGTAAACAAAAGGAGCTAAAAATTACATGCCATCATTTAGTTTGTGTACCTCAGCAGCTTTCATTGGATGTAGTTCATCACCATGAAAATTGACTGCCAGTCCTGCAGCTTTTCCTGCTTCGAGTATTCTTTTGGTTTCATCTATACCAAACACACCTTTCTCACAAAATACATCTATGTTGTCAACAACTATTTCTTTGTTTTTCATCAGTTCTTGAAGCTTAGGTATCTGGTGATTGATCACATTGTCAGTTGCCTCTTCCAAAGTACTTCCTCTAGGAGAAAAATCAGCTGTATCTTTAATTGGAAAATATATCTTGTTTTTCCCTGCCTGATAAGTAACAGAAGGTAACTCAAATGAATATGAAAGCAATCTTTGCAGAAATAAACACTACTTAAGCAGCAGTGACAATAAAGCCAAAAAAAAATTGTTCAGGCCTATATGGGATTCAAACCCATAATCTCTTTGATACTGGTGCAGTGCTCTACCAACTGAGCTAACAAGTTCAAGTCCCACACCGGCCTGAATTCTTTTAAGGACTCTGCAGGATATTTTATTCTTGAGAAGATCACTTTCACATTCATTTCTAAATCCACAACTCACAAATATGATTTTCAAATATTTTCAGTTAGAATGTAACACAGGCAAAAAAAAAGGTGATAGAAAGAAATGTACAGCACTACACACAATAACTTATTCTATATTCTTCAACCTTGCAAATAGTAAATTTTCTTATGAACTTTACCCACTTTGGTACAGAGTGTGCTCCACAAAATGTGCTGGATATCTCAATTGGCAGCTCTTTTTTAGCTTTTTCTAAAACTTGTAGCATCTTCATCTCTGAGTCTACATCCAAACCATAGCCACTCTTGGCTTCAACCAAAGTTGTACCTGATCTTAACATTCTCAGAAGTCGTTCTCTAAGTGATGTGTATAGTTCTTCATTGCTAGCCCTGCGCACATGCTCCACAGTGAAACCTATTCCTCCTCCAGTCTTGTGTACATCCATGTATGTAGCTCCAGCCAACTATGAAAGAAAAAAGATTGTTATTGACAAGTATGACATGAGTATCAGGGGTTAATTAGTTCACAAAGAGAGATAAATACTACACCCCTGTTTTGAAAATTTAAATTATATCACCTTTTGAACTTTGAAGTAAGGATTAACTCTCTTATCCATGATGAAACCAACCCTAAGGTTATGGCAATGATGGAAATGATTACCAACTTAACCCTTGAACACCCAAGATATCATTAGTAATACTCCTTTCTGTCTGCCATGTAATTCTTATGATGCTAGTTCTGAGAATTTGGTACTAGATCAACTAGAAAATCCTCAAACTTATATTTTTCTTTACTCTTATCACCTGTCTGATTGATATTGTTTTGATATTGTAAGGAGAAATTCTGTCTTGGTCACTCATAGCAGTTAAAGGGTTAAAAAGCTTTAGAGTGCTAATTGATTCCCCTTGTCCTTACCATAGAAAATGTATAAAGAATGGTGAGTAAGCATTCTGATTGGCAAACTTACCTTCATGGCAAATTCATGCACTCTGTCACCTACCCATACTGGATGAGTGTGACCATCAATAAGGCCTAAAATAAAGGCAACAAAGTTTAGAAATGAATCCTAATGCATGGCTGTGGACTGACCCTTGTCATAATTGGAAAAAATTCCCTATTAGGGGTGACACACCAGTCATATTTGTGGCATTTTATCACTTGTCAGAACCAAGTTGTCTAATAGAAGTTGTAAACAGCCACACTAGCCAGTATGCCATGTATGACTCCTCCTATTAGACAACTTGGTTCTGACAAGTGATAAAATGTCAGTTCTGACAACTTGAAAGGAGACAACTCACCATTATAGGGTTTGCACATGTGCACAAATATGACTGGTGTGTCACCCCTAATAAGGAATTTTTTCCAATTATGGCAAGGGTCAGTCCATATTCATACATGGTAAATCTACTGCATACCCCTAATTGGAAACACTTTTTGTTCAGAAAGTCCCACATGTTTCTTCTCCCCACAATTGTTTCCTTCCACAGATTTCTATAAACATTTCAATTATTTTTCATATCTTGCATGGAAGCCCTTATTTCGTATGCTTCCCTTTAAAATTCTGTGCGGAAAATCACGCACGGATGGTCAAAATTTATCTCCTTGCTTGTTCAGGACAAATTTGTGCAAGTACCCAACTAATGTAATTAGCACCTTTACACAAGCACTCAGGAATTCACACGCACCTACATGTACTTAGCATATCAGCACTCGCACATACCACCTAATTGATTCTGTAAACGTTACGTATATGAATGGTTAAGCTTTAGACGCAAAACTAAAGGTTGAACACCTCTACCCACACTCTCCCCTCTCGCGATCAGCTTTTTACCTGCGCTCGTTGTTATGTCCAAAACTAATTAACCTAAACGAGCTCAACTTACCGGGCAAGACACACATTCCAGAAGCATCTATTTCCTCGGTAAACGTATGATTGCTATAGTCTCGATCTACCTTCTCGTCAAAATCAATACATTCGATTTTTCCCGCGCTATCGACAACAACAGACACACCTCTGTCCTTTGTTCCTTCGACAATAGCCAGCTTTTTCATAGAGTCTCCCGTCAAAATTCGTTCGCCATTATTACAGACTAAAACTACTTGCTTCGCATGTCGAATTCTGAGGTTATACATGATAAAATTGTGGTAATTTAAATATATAATTTTAAAGGAATTCTCTGCGCTTTAACCCGTGAATTTTACACAAACTTCTCAATAGTCAGCTGTTACTCACGCATTAGCATGCGCTGCTCGCCTTGGAGTTTCCATGCCAACAGGTAACCTCGTTATCAATCTAAACACAAGATGGCTGATGTTCCGCTGAAACTCCTCTGACAACATTAATGTACCTAAGAGGCAAACTCAGACATCTAGTAACGTTGTGCAAGGATTGCTTTTTTCTTGTTTGTAAATAAGGAGCTGTTGTCTTTTTAAGGGGTTTGAATCTACTCTAAACTGTTGTTCCCCACCACAGAATCCGTGTTTCTTGTTGTGAACTTGTAAACAAGTGTAGTAGGGTTTTACAAAGTAGTCCGGGGTCTTTGCAACTCCTTTGCAACAGCGTGATCAAAATGTCTCGATCGCCTTCTCAAGGATCAAATAAGCCACCACGGAGTGGTAAGTTTTCAGAGATTTATGATTAGATCATTTCTCTCTAGGCGTACATTTACGTAAACTTTATCAGTCTATATATATATATACATCGCAGTTCTAGATTAAGTAGTGATTTGCAATTGCTCTGGCATTTGGCAGTCGTTAAAGTTGGTGTATGGCTGTAAATGTACTGGTAACTCACTTCGGTTTGCAAACTAGTAGACACAAAATAATCTTGAATCTGATACCTGTTGGAAAGGCACATTATTGGAGTCAGCTTACTTCGGTTTGCAAACCAATAGACGAGAAATAATTTTAAATCTAATACCTGTTGGAGGGCATATTATTGGAGTCAGTTGACAGGTCACTCGAGTTTTATCACACTTGCAAGCTAAGAATAGCCATGGAACTATTGAGATAATCAAGAGAAATCTGGAATTAGATTGTTTTTTTCTTAGGTTTAATCTCTTTGTCTGTTTGTAAAAGAAATTCACACCCACCTTACATTCATTCAGACTGAAATCAAAAACCAATCATCAATTGGTGACCAGTATTTTCCTTTGAAGCAATTCAATATGATTTAGATTGATTTTTCAACCTGGATTCTTGACAATGTTCAAAAGGTGTCTGTGATAACTAAGATTTTAGTTTGAAGACTCTTATAATCAATAAAGAGACCTAGATGATGTAATAGATTGATCACTGTTATGTACATTTAGGGGGACAATCAGCCTCTCGACAATCTGATAAAGTGGCATTGCAATCTGCAAAATCAAGTTCTGGTAAACACTCGGCTTTATCAGGTAAGTACTCTATCTGAAATGTTTGTGAGAAATAAAAGTTAAAAACTAGCATAAGACAAACAAATACAATTCCATCTTGTTCTTGAGGGACTCAGGACAGAAATTTGGTATATCTGAGGCTTTGTCATCAGGGAGGGTGAATTTTATCTTACAATATCAATACAAAATCAAACAGATAAGTGACGAGAATAAAGAAAAATATAAATTTGAGGATAATTAGTTGATCCAATACTAAATTCTTTGAACTAACATTATAAGAATTGTATGGTTGACAGTAAGGAGAGTTACAAATTTGATCTAAGAGTTAAAGGGTTAAAATACAAGATGTGTCAATCTTGTTTACACACTCACTTGCTGGAATCACCAAATTGAAATTTCTCCTAACACAATATTAACAAAGAAAGTAAATGACCAATAAATGGGTAGTATTTCATTTCCATTACACTACATTTTCATGGCTTAAACTGTAAATAATTTTTAATGGAAATGTGAGGAGAAGATAATTTATTCTTAGGTGATTGGGATGAAAGTTGCATTTATTTTAACTACATTATTGAATGAAGAATAACCAATCAAGTATATATATATATTTTTTTTCTTTAGTGGTTGAGTCTGTGGTAAATCCAAATCATAATCCATTCACCATTCCACATGATAATGATGTATTTATGCTACGAGACAAAGAGAGACAGAAAAAGAAACAGGTAATGTCATGCAATTACAGTTGAACCTGTATTAAGCAGCACTGTATTAAGTACTCACCTTGTTGTAAGTAGTCAGTTATCTAAGTTCCAAATGTTTCCCCTCGATCAATGTAATTTTCACCTCTGTGAAGCTGCCACCACTATTAAGCAGTTGTGGTCGCCTTTGAATGAGTCCCAACAGCCTGTTTGTATTGACTCTTCCACCTGTATGGAGCCCGGGTCACTTTGAACAGAATCACTCCAGCCAATAAAACTATGAATAACATTTCAGATAAAATTGAATCCATGTTTCTCTCCTGAAATCAGTACTTAGCAGTGTTTTTGAGAAAGTTTTTTTTTTTTTTTTTTAATAAGAAGTGGTCAATTATGGCATAAAGTGGCACTTTTTATTGCTTTTTTTATCGGTGGTGTTCTGTGGAACCTAAATTATAGTAACCAGTGACTTACCCTGTATTAACTCTTTGACTCCTAAGAGTGACTAGCATCTAATTTCTCCTTACAATATCTCCCCTGATTAAAATATAAAGGTCATGAGAATAAAGGAAATGATCACCAACTAAAGAGGCTTTTGATAGCCAAACAAATTCTCCTTGTCAGCACCTAAGGAAATGTATAGAGAACAGTATGGAGAACATGAATACTGATCTTAGGGTGTAAAGGGTTAAGTGGTCACCGTGCCATTTCCCATGGGTGACTGCTGGTACATGTAAGTGAAATACTTACTTGATTAATAACCAGTTTGTGACACAGGAAAAGCTCACTGCTTGCCTGGTAAAATTTGAAAAAAGGAAAGTTTTTTTAACTTTCTTCTCTACAAGCCTAGTTGGTAAGGTAAAATGAGTATTCCAATTCTCTTCACTGGCAGGAAAGAATCCAGCAGCGAAGTTTAAAGGTGCATGAAAAGACAACATACACATCACGTGTCAATGCCAAAACAGCTGCAATGAGGAAAATAGGTGACGACAATGAAGATGACTTTGTTGAAGAGGAGAAAAAGAAAGACAAGGATGGAGTGATTGCAGTCAAAGATGACCCTCAATTTACATTGGCAATTACAAGAGGTAGATTTGTGGTATTTGATCTTGAACAACAATTGCAATGTGGTATATCAATAATTTAAATTGACTGACTCAATTCTTTGTCAGCCTTTTGTTACTAAAACAAAAGGTTGGTGTATAGTTGCAATTACAGTAGGTTGTGCACTAAACAAAATGAATATTCGTATGTTACAAACAAGTAAATTACCAGTGATGAGGATGATAATGATGATGATGCTTTCAAATCACTTTCAGATCGCCATGTGGAGAAAGAAAATCTGGCAGATTTCATTTCTAAGAAAAGGGAGATGTTTCTAGTCCAGGTAAATATTAATCCTACAGTAACAGTTTTAGGGGTGGTACATAATACTGACCTTGCATCTTATCCGTATGGACTAACAAAAGTCATAGCTGGGGAGATGTGATTGTTTTCTAATTGAGGATAAAATTTCTATTTGTTGGTGCTTTCCAATTGGGTTAAAGTACATTTAAATGACAGGCTTGGAAAGGAGTCTACATGGTGTCTAATGTCCTTGAATCATGGACTAATCTTAAGAAGTCCCAGTGCTAGCCTTTTAAATGGTTTCAGTACTTATAAATCATGGCTGTGTCCTTTTAGTATTCTTTAGGTGTGAAGCGTGATGAAATGAGGAAACTGGAAGAAATTGCCCAGGTTAGTTATCACATTGACAAGCCATAATTATTGAATTAACCTTTAACTACCAGAAGTGATCAACATGAAACTTCTACCCATAATATCTTTATTATACCACCCTGCAAACAGGTAATGAGAATGTCCAAACTTATCACGTAGAAGTTGTTATCATGATCTCACACTAAATTCTCCTGACTAATTTTCAAGGAATGTGTTGCAGGTATAAGGGAGAATTAACAATCAGATCCTGGGAGTTTAAGGGTCAAAGAACTTTTTTAAAACCTAGCAATCTTTCCCATTTAAAAGTATCTAAAAAGGAGAGGGAAGGAGATATATTTAGTGCACTGGTCACTAGCTTCAGGTTAATCAAGCCACAGAAATTATCAGTTAATCATTTAAGGTTAATTATCATATTTGATGTACGCACATGTTCAGTTATTAAGTAAAGTTTTCATTCATTGATCTTCATATGTTTAACTTAACAGGCAGAAGAAAAGAAGCTTGAACTTGCTGAGCAGTACCTTGAAGAAGATGCTGCAATGTTTGATGAGTTTTTAAAAGAAAATGACAAAAACTCAGTTGAAGCTATCAAAATGTGAGTACTATTTGTAATAATAATTTACTCGTATAAATAATTTTTATCTTGCTATTCAAACTTTGCTTTGAGGAAGGGCTAGCACTCAAAATGTCAGCTTTAGGGACTCTTTACAGTGGTCAATTCACAAATTTACAGTATCAACTCAGTTGCTAAAACTGAATTACCTCTTATACTCCCCCAGCAATGCAGCTTTCAGCTTTAGAGACTATTTACAGACTGTAGCCAATTCACAAATTTACATTATCGACTCAGTTGCTAAAACCAAACTATCTTGTTATGTTCCCCCACTAATGCAGCACCACAGTTTCTTTAGAAACATACCTCAGTAATCCTAGTTTGTTTGTGTATGACTTGCCAGTCTTCAACTTAGCTTCGAATCAAGAAATTTAATATTAAACACTGTTGTTTTTGGAATTGTCTAATATAAAGTACTGAATGTAACGCATAATAAAGAATTCCTACATTTCCAGAAATCCAATTTATGTGCTATATGTGTAGATACATTGTACTTTTAAAAGTCTTAATCAATTCAAAGCTTATCCACCACTGGTATTTTTCTTAACAGAGCTGAGGCTGAAACAAAGCTTAAACTTGAAAAAGTGGCTGAGATTAAAAAAATAAATGCTCAAATGATGGCAATAAAGAGGTGAGATGACAGTGATATTGGAAATCATTTGTTGAATATACAGTTCATGTATAATTGTAGTAATCCTACAATGCTACAAAATTAACTGTAGTATCAAAAAAAATTATTGCACTTATTAAGCTACAGTTACTGTTAGTAATATTTAATGTCAACTTTAGTTGGTTTTTAACCTTAATTTTTCAGTGAAATATCTAAAAATGAGGACACTCTCAAAGAGTATATGTTGTACAAACAGTTCCTGGATTCCCTTACTCCACAGGTACATGTTTTTGATACTTGTTATTTTTTATTAATTATTAATTAATCATTAATTCATCTCTGTGGTGAGTCTGTGATTGCATTAATTTTGGCTTAATTACATCTGTATAGGAGTGGAAAGATGATAAGAGAAAAGCCAAAGAGGAGAAAAAGGTAAAATTTAAGTGGAAAACTATATAAAGGTATTCCTTTTTAAATTTTTTTTAAAAATTAATTTCTTGGTGTGGTGGTCATATTTTATTTATTTTTGTTTTCCTTTCTTCACCGCAGAAGGCAAAACAGAGGGACAAAAGCTCAGTATCAAAAAAGAGAAGTGAGTGTATCTTAGTGGACATTATATAATTATGTATCCTAGATGTGTGTGTATGTTTTGTACAGTATGTTATCAGAAGTGCCAAATTGAGCTCTTGGAGATTGGAAATATTTATATATGTTTATGGTGGCTTCTGGGCAAAGAAAGAAAGCTGGTCGTGAATTGTTATGTCTAGCCCTACTGTAATATGCTTTTGAAATTTCAATCATGTATTCAAAAAAGACCTTTGGCACCTCAAATCTCAATTATAGACTCTCAACTTGATCCCAGTTTATTGCACCTTTTGGGAATAAGTTTTCAGTTTGGAGTTGAGTCTTTGAAATTCCGTTTTAGCATAATACAATATATATACTACATGAATCATGCAGAAGCAAATGATTTACCTCTCCTTAAAAACCTTTTGTTTAGTTTCCATAATCAGCTCTGACAGAAACTCCAGTCGTGGTAGCCGTAAAGAAAGTAGGGCCAGCTCTGTAAGTACATGTACATGCTGCTGATATGAACCTTGTAAAGTACCAGATCATCTTATTTAGCTTATGCAAGGGACTCTGTTATTCAAGAGACAGGCTATAATTTGGGTGCAACCCCAACTGCCAGTTTCACCTGTTTGCTGGCCATTTTTCACCTTTTAGCTCATCTCCTCTGACAGAGGGCCCAGTAAAAAGGCTAATGGTTAATCGAGATTCGATTATTTTCTGTCTACTTGACAATCAATATCTTGCCTGCCAATGACCTGTACACGGATACTTTTGCGATAATTTTGTTCAAGCATTTACACAGTGTATCAATTGATATTAGCCTTATGGTGAATTCAATGATTTAATCCTTTCCCCAACATTGGTAGTCATTTTCTCCATTCCGTTCTCAGTACATTTCTTATACTAAGGTGCTGATAAAAAGATTTGTTTGAAAATCGAGGGCTTCTTTAGTTGGTGATCGTTTCCTTTATTCTTGAGACCCTAACTTGCGATTGCCAGAAAATATTGTAACCAACAATGAAATGCTTGTTCCTCTCTGGGGTCAAAGGGAAAACAAAATAATTCTGCCCACAAATTTGACTCCATACGTACCAAACGGAGTTGAGCCACATCGTAAATTCCCTTTTGACATCGTTCAATCAACTCAAGGTGTATCTTAACTGTTCTTTTGGTTCAATTAAACAATGTAAATGATTGTATTTGATGCATTTTACCTATACAGAAATTAGCGGGAAGTCCTTTAGTGAAGATGTAAGTGTACAAACAGTGTGTATTGATTCTACCGTATTCATAACCGCACCAACCACTTGAGCATTTTATAGACACCATTACGTCGATATCTGTTGAGTCACATCTAAACGTGCATGTCCGCATGTTCTTCTGGAAATATTAAAAGATTGTTAGAAAAGGATAAGTTTTTTGTTCCTTGACTGCTGACTCTTATATCAGCTGCTGTTAAATCGAAAAAAAAAATACATGCAGAACAGGTGTTGTTTCCTTTTTGCGTTTTTTTCCGGGCGAGTGGTGACGCGTGTTAGGGAAGAGACGCGCAATGGCAGGAGTGTGAATCTCGCGCCTCGGGCTTGCCAGCATTTGCCTTCGCTTGCCTTGTAAACGTAAAAAAAATAAAAACACGAAAATTTTTTACGTTTTTTTTTCTACGTTTACAACTGAAGCTCTTTGCTTAGGTAGGAAGAGGCATTGCGAGAGCGAAGTTACATGTCCAAAATAAAAATTTCCCTCAGTGATCCTGATCAGGGCCTACAACACGAACCCCTCATTGTGCCCTCACCACTAGCTTATAATAACACCTAATATCTTCATTAGGAGAATAAAATCTTAACTGTTATGTTTCTTTAATCCATAGGCAAAGGAGTGATGCAGAAGACAGTCCAGCCTCTGTTTACGAAACTGACGAAGAGGAGAGCGATACTGTAAGGGAAATGAACACAGCGCCTTTTTCAACCTCGTGTCTAGGTCTCTCTCTTCTTCTCATCCCCTGGAGCGATTCTTCTCTCTCCTCAGGGGTCGGGAAGGAGAGCCTAAGCACGAGGTTGCTACTTTTCATTTTCCCTTTTTATTTCTTGTCTTCGCGAAGCTGTTTTGTCCATGTTGATAGTCTACGATCTGGAAAGTCCTCTCGCTCAATTAGAGCATGGAGGTTTGGTTATTGGAAACTGAGAGAGAATAAAAATTAACAAATAATAGAAGGAGAGAATCCAAGTTATAGAATTTCTTGATGATCAATTATCTTTTGAACTTCTAAAAACACTCTCTGAACCGATGTAAACACTTTTTGAATGACCTTTTTGCTAATGTTTCTTTACTTTTTGTCCAGCAGTTGTGTTGATGACAATTAATTTTATGATTGTTCCTTTTTCATTTGACAGGAGCCAGACTTGTTTTTTGGCGATCCTCAGCAGCTTCTTGACATCTTTGCCGAACTAGAAGAACAAAATTTATCTCTGATTCAGAACAGTCAAGAAACCGAAGAAGCCCTGGAGGAACTTCGACAGACAATTAAACAGACGCAGGAACGAATGTAAGTCCCCTCAGTTGGACTTGACGTAGCGTGCAAGTATGCCCTCATGATTAGCGCTGCTGGATGAGCGTTTCTCTGCCCGCAGGAAGATTGGAAACGAGTCGGGGGGAGAGTTACCGGGTGTCTCAGCTGAACCACTTGCAGGCATCACGGCGATTCGCGTCGCTAAAAGCCTCAAATTTTCTCACCAGCGAAGAAACCCTCATACTGATGCGTTAGTAATAAGGACCTGTTCGACCTTTTCCTAGGATTAGACTTGAAGTTGCTTCACAGGGGCAGATTCAGGAATCTTTTTTGTCGTAATTTAACTGATTTTCTTTCCCTTTACAGGAACCGCGAAACAGAAATTCTCAAAGGTCAGATAGACTTTTTGAATGATGCCATAAACAGAGAGGAAGAGAGAGCAAAGGAACTGGAAATGAAATCAAAGTACGGTAGTTGCTTATCACCATTATTCCACTTTTCCTGTTTTGCACAGAGTCAACATTAATACACTATAGTTTATTTGCATTTTTGTAAGGGGAACTTAACCCTCTAACTTCCAGAAGTGATTAACATGTAACTGCTCTCTTAAATAACCATACATTATCCAACAAACAGGTAATAAGAATACTCAAAGTTGTTATCTTGACCCAACACCATATTCTCGTAACGATTTTACAAGGAAATGTGCAGCAGCTAGAAGGGAGAATATAGGATTTAAAGTGTTAAATGTCTCAATGTCCTAGTTTCCCGTCGTCTCTAATGTACGTTTACTCTTGTTCATAACATTGTTTTTTTTTTTCATAATTAAATAAATGTTATTCATCTATTTGATTATTTATTTTTATTTCCTTGCAGAATGTTCTCATATGGAGAATTTAAAGCAGAAGACCAGGTAACACGCCCTCTCTGTTTTGGACCCGCATAACTGCATTCAGATAATTTTTTGTACACGTTATACTGTAGGATTTCGCGACAGCGTGAGCTAATAATTGAGGGATTTTTGTGATATGAAGCTGAATCTTGCCTGGCCTGATTACAATTCTCCTTTTCCTTTATAAGCTTTTTATATTACTCCCTTTTTTCACTGCGTTCTTTTCAGGAAAAAATGCTTCAAACGTTGAACAAGAAAGTCGAAGAGGTTTATCGGAATTGTATAGGAGATAACGAAGCCAACATAAGGTATGCTATGCGTGGTTGTCGGTGTGAAAACTGTTTGCACCTGATATGTGCTCAATAAATTCTCTTGATGCCCCAACGATTATCAGTCCTGCGACATAGAAACCGAAAAAGAACAAAAAACAAACAAACAAACAAACAAGAACACCGTTTTCCCTTCTTCATCCTCTAAGATTTCCAAGTCAATACGAATCGCCAGGAATGCGGTGACTTATTCTTCTGTTAAAGCTGTTCTTCGCTTTAGTTATAGCCTGTTCCAGGCATTCGCTTGGTAAATGTTGTGCAATGATGGTCTGAGCTAAAAACGAGGGAGGTGTAGGTTGGGTTGCGTAATATACCCGTCCTAAACCTCCCTAGTTTTTTCTCTCCGCCGCCACTATCGCGCGCCTTTTTTTCCCGCACTGTTTTACTAATTGAACGGCGGGAACAGACTATTTCAGTCGCGTTTCCTGGCGCTTGACCGTAACTTTATACGTCGTCATTGTTGGTTATTGATTTGTTCTTGTATTTTTTTTATCGGTCTTTGTTTCAAACAAGCTGTGACTTTAGTTGTTGCTTGTTTCTCTGTTTTTTTGTTTTTAATCGATCCCTTGACTTTTGTTTGATCCTATCAGCACCCTTCAGATGCTGACCAATATTGAAAATCGCCTGGAAGAGCTTTTTGAACAAATCGAAGTTATGCCACCGGACCGAGTGGAAATGGCAGAAAAGGTACGAGACCTGTTTAGAACCACGATTGTAGGCACGCAATAGGGGATAATTTAGCTTTATCAACTGAGTCGATGATGTAAACTGACCATCACAAAGAGTTTCTGAGGCGTTTTGAGCGTTAGGGTTCTAATGAAGGGCTTATGCTTGAAACGTCAGCTTTAGAAACTATTTCCGTGGCTAATTTACATCATAGTTATCAACTCAGTTGTTTCACCAAAATTTCTCGTAATAATACAGTTTCTGTAGAAACTTACGCCCTTATTTATATGTACGGAATATGATTTGTTTAAAATGAAAACGTGACTCACATGAAGATTTAAAATCGGCATTGTTCTTGATATAACATTTTAGAAGGCTTTAACTGCAAGTTCTGCTTTGTCATCTTCAAATGCCTTTTCCAAATTAAAGGAACTGTCACATTTGGTGAAGGTTAGCTGCTTAATATTATTATGAAGATGACTGTTATTTGCAAAGATCTGTAGAATTGTAGTTATTTTCATTCAACGGCTTCACAATTACCCTCGTTGTAACACAGAAACAATAGTTATCTGAGGCAAATGGAGTAAATCCTTGAAGCTGGTAGTTGGAGGGGAACCGAAAGTAAAAAGTCTTCAACTTGGACTGAAAATTACGAAAGTAAATTATGAAAGATCAAAGAGTGATCCGTGTATACTACATGGAACTTTCCCTGACTGGTGCACTGTTCTCTTTTCTGTCATAGGCAAAAGAGAAAGATCGACGCTTACGTCTTCGTGAAGAGAAAATGGAACTACAAAGACTGCATCAAGAGGACCGTGTGAGGAGAGCCCTAGAACGAGCTCAAGCTGAGCCGAAGAAAAAGGTGGGCAATACATGCCATGTCACATGACCCTAAAATCTACAGGGCTGTTAATCTTACGTTGAAGCTTGTCATTGGCTTCGCTCAGAAGTTTAGACCCGAGGATAAGAGAATATGGTCTTTTGCCCTATGATATTTCACAAAGGAAGACTACAATTACGAAACCAAAGTAAACACAAGGGCCAATTGTAACAATAGGAAATATCACAGAGCCAGTGAACACTTAATGTAAACACAGATAACGGCCTTAGCGCGGGAAAACGTATGACGGTGTCACAGTTGGTTTTAACTTTTGCATCTGATTGGTTGAAAGTGTGGTGTGGGTTTTCTAGTCTAATCGTAAAGCTCAGTGAAGGAAAAACTATTCAATCCCAAAGTTCTTTAAACTTTTTAAAAATTGCTCTGTTTTGGCTTGTTCTCATTTCAGACTGGTAAACCACTGATGTTCCGCTCAGAACCACCGCAGACGCGAAGAAAGCAGCAGGATGCCGACAAGAAACAAGACAAAGAGGAAGAGGAACTGAAATATTTTTTTACATAAAACTCTCAACAGCTGTAGACTCCTTGAAATTTGTTTCTTGCAAAAAAATAAATTTTTGTTTGTATTGAACCAACTGGGACGCGAAACAAAACAAAGTCACACGAGTTCGAGATAATTTGTCACTGGCTTTGATTTAAATCAAACTTTTGTAAATTGTATATACATGCATGTGAAATGTTTAATAAACAACAAGCAAATCTATGGTCCTATTGCACCATTACAAAATTCCTTCGTTAAATCGTGTGACATCTGCTGGTATAGGGCTTTCCGATTACCTTGAGCTTACTTTGGGCTTCTATCTTTGGGTCCGTGAAGAACTCATGAACTTGGCGATCGTACTTGATAAATCCCGGTGTGAAACGAGTTGAAAACGCTAAGATTCCCCAATCATGTTGTCCACAAACACGTCTCGAACTGATACATTTCCAAAAACATGCCTTCGAAACACTTTCACGAAAGTAATTCCCAGGAGTGCTCCCAAAAAGATAAGTTCCTTTGCGCGCAGCCGATGGGAAACTAGTGCCTTGGAGCTGTCAAACGCTTTGAATCTTAATTGGTTTTCACGTGACAACTGTAGATTTCCATCGTGTTGTCTAACCGCTCGTGTGGCGGGCTGGACTGCTGACCACAGACTAAAGTGAACGCGGTGTTAATTTGAGGAGAGTATTTGAGGTGACCCGGTAAACCATCACCAATGCGCATTGATGTATTATTAAAAAATAGAATACTTGCAAATGAACGCATTCAAACAGAACTCTTCTCCTTTTTTTCGAAATTCGATTATGAAGGCCAGTAAAATAAGTTTGAATATCACGTATGAAAGCACAAAATAATCTCAGAGAAAACAAGTATTATTTACTTCTTTAAGTTTTTTTTGTTATTATATTTAAAAAAAAAAAAAATTGAAGCAAAGTATGTTAACGACAGTTACCTCAATACAAATAAAATGACCTATTTAGACAAACTACATGAAACTTTTTTCCTTCTTGAGGAATAGTTGTGTCATTTCTTTGGGACTAACTTGTATGCTTTTACAAGTACAGTTAAATTACCAACAATATATATTTTTTTATTCTACTCAAAAGCTCAAAACTGCAGAACGTACAAATGACAACCATCAGAATGAAGTTTGATCTCCAATTTCTATGAGAAAACGCCAGTTTACAAGTTAACCTTGTAACATCTCTCGCACGTGAGAGGCTTTTCAGTGGATAAAATTTATAGGAAAGTCCTAAATTTACATAGTAATAAATATAATACAAAAAAAGCTGACTGCAAATAGTTCTAAGAGGCTACTCTCTCATCTCTCCATCCTCTTCCTCTTCATCTACGCCACGAACATAAAGAACATTGTTACACCTACACAAAGAAAATAAACAACAACATAATAGCAATGTATTCACCTTCAGCAAATTATAAGAGGTCCTAAGTTGTTACTCATGGTTTCTTTAACCCTTTAGCTCCCACGATCTGATTGTCAATTCTCCCCTCTTGCAACTACACATTACCTTGTTAATTACTTATGAGAATTTGTTGTTCGATCAAGATAACATCTTCTGCCTGATTAGTTAGTGTATTCTTATTAGCTGTAAGTTGGGATGATGTAGGGATACTCTTAGGAGAAGTTACATGTTAATCACTTCTGAGTGTAAAAGATTTAAATATTTGGGATTGGCATCTAGCAATAATGTGGGAAATTAATAAAAAAAAATTTATAAAAAAGGACACAGTACAAAGAGGAGAATGAACATGATAATCTTTGGACATTCTTAAAAGGATCTATTCCAAAGATAACCTTGTACTGCTAGGAAAAGACAGTGCCACTTCAACTAACATCACATCACATCACATGAGTACAATCTTACGGTAACAACTTACCTAATTAGAACTTCCCCTAAATTGCCTGTCAATGCACCATCTATAAACTCTTCTGTATTAGCAAGCTGTAAAAACAGAAAACACATTTTCACCATTGTATATGATACAAATTACACTACAGTACATGAACATGCACAAGCATGTGCTTAACCCTTTAACTCCCAGATCAAATTTGTAATTCTTTTCACTGCCAACCATACAATTCTTATCACATTAGTTCAGAGAATTTAGTATTAGATCAACTAATTATCCACAAATTCATATTTTTCTTTATTCTCATCACCTAGCTGGTTGATGTTGTATTGATAATGTAAGGAGAAATTCTGTGTTGGTCACTCATGGGAGTTAAAGGGTTAAAGCAAATTTGCTCACAGCCCATGTAAATGGAAGCATTAAAGAAGTAGATTACACGTGCTTACAAATCCCTCAAAGTGGTTATTTGCATTATAACAAAGTTGGGACCATGAATGGCATTTTGTGTTTTGGACCTCTCAAGAAAGTCATATTGAGGCACCCTGTCTTATTTACATCCCGGTAAGGTCAGGCTTATAGGTAACAGTATAACATAAAAGAGAGAGAAAAATTATCATGTGTGTCTTACTAGTCAAGGTAATAGTAAAGGAAGGGGAAAGGGGATATTACAAACTGTATTTATAAACATCTTGATGCTATGGGAAATCATCATGGATTCTGCCAAAACAGTTGAAATAACAATTACTCTTGGTGTTTTGTTTATTTGAAATATCTTTGACTAGAAGTGAGAGTGGCTCACTGTCTTTGACAAAAAGTTTCCTGGTTGCTCATACTTTCAAACATCTTTTCTTTTTTTTTATCAATTTCTCCTTTGCAGAATTCAGCATCTGTTTCTTTTTGTCAGGCAAGGGCAAAGTGAAACAGTTCAGCTTGTGACTGAAAGGCATGGCTAAACTGTACCAATGGGAAGCTCTGTTCATATGCAAACAGAGTTTCCAAAAGATCAATGGTCTTTAGCAGGCATAATTTATATTTCCCCAACCCTCCCCCTCTCCTTCTTAAAGACTGTTACTCACCTCCCCCTAACCCTAACATAACCCCTCCCCCCCTCTTGCTACAAGCTTCTTTCTGTCCCCAGCTTTTTGGTCCTATAAAATCAAAGCTGGCTGCTAAGCTTTGAAGAAAATACTGAGATTCTCCTGCCAAAATCAAGCTTACCATAAATAAGCACCCACCTAAATATACCATGTTTTCTCCAACCAGCATTCTTTTTTGAGCCCATAAAAACAAGTCAAGTTGGTGAAAAACTGAAGATTTCGCAGAAGATAAACTTACCTGAACATTCATGTATCCATCCACAGACACAAGGTAACCCTTGTATTCCATCCCCCATTTTAGTTTCACGATAACTGGCTTGCCAGTGAGCCCATTAAGGAAGGGCTTGGGGTTTAAGGGCATAGTCTGAGTAGGTAATTTAATGTAAAATCAGTTCTTTTACAATAAATACTTTGATCGTGCAGTCTGATCTTCTGATGAGAGTTGCTATAGGAAGGACTGTTGTCTGTGATGGCGACTGACAATTCAACGACCACGATTGTCACTTAACACTGATAATAACACAGCCTAAGGTTGCCTGGAAATCAGTCACTGATACCCATAACAAGGACTTCTATTACAGAGATGATCAAACAATACAATAAAATGTTAATCCTGGGTTCAAACCAATTCTGTGTTGTAATCAATGATGTTCAAACAGCATTTTACACCAGATTTAAGTAGATTTGGTATTTTTTAATAACAAGTCAAATCGTCAAAGTGATGAGAACAACCAAGTTAATGTAAATTTCTTTGCTTATTCACTATCCCTCTAGATCTCTGTTTTTCTTTATTTGCGTTTTAGTAATTCTTAGGGAATTACGACCTGTAAACTTCAGTTAAGACCACAGGCATTTCACCATAAGTGAGTGACATATCCATGATGTACATACAAGCACTTAATAATTCGTCAGAGCGGTAGTCCTTAAAGTTTTAATGCGAGAGTGAAATCAAGACTGGTTATCTGTTACCACAAGAGTTTAATCTGGTTTAGGTGAATAAACCTTGTGTCCCCACTATGAAAACCTTCAGTCTAGCCACCTAACACTTAGAAAGAGTAACCACAGCGTGGAACAACCTAACTAGGAAGCGATCTAGCCGTGTAATGTGATGTGCTATCTTAGCATGCATCTGTATGCTATGTACAGGAAACACCACGAGACTCCGAGACTATGCCGATTTTAAATCGTGCAGAGTTCGAAATAGCTAATCAGTTCAACGAAAAATAACCAAAAATAGCTTACTAACCGCCATGATGGAAGATTTGAGACAACCTGGTGCTGTTAAAAACGACAAAAATAGTGTAGTCAAACTCCAGCAAAAGCCACGCGCTTCTTTCTTCGTTGTCAACGTTGAGAAACGTATCGGTCAGCGGTCAGGACATAGACGAGTGAGGGACTGTGGGTAGTCGGCGCCTGGTTCCAGTCCATGTTCTTTGAATCGGTAATTATTTCACGCTTGGTAAGTATTCTTGTAATCTATTATTAATAATATTGTTATTTGTTTTCCAGAGATCAACAGCTATTGCAGTTAGTTGCAAAGTATAGATCTAAAAGTTATGATATGGCTAATTAAAACTGGCATTCTAAGCTTTTGATCTGCCAATTTTTTTGGCAGAATCTCCTCGATAATTTTTACGTAACTATGTTTTTTTCCGGTTGCTATCTTTTGATTAGTGCAAAACTTTTAAACAATCTTATTGTTAGATTTGGTCATACCGTTCGGTTTCATAATCAAACAGTTAAAGCTAATTAAGCTAATTAAGTTTCTGACTCTGTGCCGCACCTATCTTCGAATTCATACACAAAAAATTAGAATGAAAATGTATGGAATCCTCGAGTAGATATGTTCATGATAACGCAGCAAATATCTTTCATGAAGGGAATAATTGTATTATTTCTTATCCAAGTATCATTCCGTCTCGTTGAATTATCGTCACAGCGACAGGGTTGCGTTAAGATTGGAAATTTCAAAACTTACGCTACAGGTAGGTGTTTTGACTTAACTTATCTCTGTAGAAGAAATATACGATTTCCAAATCGTATTCTTTTTAAATTAAGGTGGTATTCGCAAGCACCAGGGTCAAACGAGCCAGCACTATCTGATATTTTACGATGCTGCAGGGGAGTTTCCCCCTGATTTATGAGAGGTATGTAGGGAATGAATATCAAGAAATACATGAAGGAAAAGAAGAAGAAAGAAAAGTAGGCCAAGAAGAGACAAGAACTTCCTGAAAAAAGAAACTGCTATTTTGGCTTGAGTTATAGAAGTCTTTTGCAATATCTTCGACAACCTAAAGAAAGCTTTGCTATGTGCTTTATATGTGCGTTCTAAAAAATGTATTAAAACAAGGAGTAAGCGAAACTAAAAGATTTATTTTGGAGGTGATTGACTTAATGTGTCAGACTCCCGTAACCTTCATTATGATGCCCCGATTACAACAGCAAACCATCATATTTAGTTAAACCAGGTTTAACTGGAAAAAAAAATCAGCACCAGAAAATCGAAGGATTAAACTTAACATAGGGTTTTTATTTAATCTTTGACTTTCATTTTCATCGTGCTAAATTTTAAGTCAACAAACATAGGCTTAGGCAGGTTCTATGGAGAAAAAAAATTTCGGCTTAAAACTTGTTTCGTATAAGTCAGATTTGATGTTACAGTGTACGTTCGCGTCGAGATTGTACGAATGAGGTGAATATCTCCTGGAAGAATATGAAGCTTTGATGACTTAATCGTCAGCTGGCCCCCTAATGGCGACATCTGATCGAAACTGATCACATCATTAACAGCATTACTCAAAACAAACTTTTTCAAATTGGAACAGGCAGCTGTTTCGGTGCGCGTAGAAAATTCGCGTGAAAACTGTCAGTTCGAAAGAGAGAGAGGGAGATCTTTTGCCTTCAGGTTGTCAGGATGGTAGCCAGCATTGCGGATGTTGGGCAAGGGTGGGCGAGTGTGAACGGAATCCTGGATACATGCTAAAAAATTGCCGAAAGAGTTGTAAAACTTGTATAGGTAAGCGTGCATGCGAATAATCATTGCGTTTTAAAAATGATTAAAAAAAACATGGTCGAGAAAACAGGAATTGAAGAGTAATTTTGCTGAACGTCTTTCGATGTGGCGTTCAGCTTCGTCAGCCGACTATATGAATAAAAAAAATTAAAACTGTTTGAGTATAGGACAACCTGGAGATGCATACATAATTGATTCTAATCGTTACCTACACATATAAATAAAAACCGATGGCATATAGATAGAAATAGGCGGTTATTGACATGACGTCCAACACAAAACTGCGGTTTTTACGCAAGCAGTGGGCCTCAGGGATTCTTTATAAGAGGACTGATTTAATGAGATAAAATTTCCTTCCACTACAAGCTTTCGGCTCTCTTGACACTGTTCACAAAAAGAAATGTTCAGATGGAAGGTTCGGCTAAATTGAAGATGGCATAGAACGCGGTTTTGTTAAACAACGGCTAAACTTTGTTTACATAGCCGGCCTTAAATATTAAGTTGATGCGGTTACGTTGTTGATACAGTGTGGGCTTATCAAGGGCCGCTTGATGTGCATATATTCCTTGAGTTTAAGGCAAAATTTGAGTTTATTTTTCCTCCAACTGAAGCTGATTACCTCAAACATCGCAAAAACTAATGACGTTCAATTTTTTGTGAAACTTCTCTTTACACAAAACCACGATGGTAAAGGCCATGAGGACATCGCAAAGCAAAAAAAAATCTATACTAGGCAGAACAATAGTCAGAATATGCGTTTTAAAACTTTCTATATTTCTTAGCCATCCTCTACAAACAGCAACGTGAAATCACCAAAATTTGCGTCGTCTGCGAACTGAAACTGCTTCGGAAAATTGTTTTTATTTCCATTCGGAGCTCCATGCTGCTTATATACGTTATGCTAAAGTCGAGGTGGGGCGCCGTAAGAGACACTAAACACATGCGACCATTTTCGAAATTCTAACTTAAAATACGACATTCATTTTTTACTCTAAGTCTTCCATGGCATTACCGTCCTAACTGCTTTAGGTCCCTAAAGGATAAAAATTTGCGTAGTCTGTAGTTAAAAACATTATAGTTTATATTTGGAACTCAACGCTGTTCATAGTCCTTATATCGAGGTTGGGCTTTATTAAGAGATGGTAAAAACATTCAGCCATTCGCGGAATTCTAACCAAAAATACAAATTCATTTTATAACTGGCGTAGAAAATAAAAATGAACGAAGTAATCAGGTCATATACTGTACTCGACTGAAGATTTCTGCTTTCGATATTGCTGATCATAGCAGTATGCAGGACATACGTTACATATGAATTTGACGTGATAGGCTCAATTTCCGCCCCTGTCCTGTCTTCGCGGGACGCGTGTCACATGAAAACCTGTTATGGCCCAGCTAGCTTGCCATTCAAGAATCTGTGACTCAGTGATTGAGCATCATTACCAAGCTCTCAATTTACCAAGTTTCTTATTTCATTTAGGTTCTGTTCTTGTTGGTCACGTCATTTCCAGCTTCCAGGTCTCCTCTCGTTTTGACTGTGCGTTTGAGTGTCTGAAGAATGAGCTGTGCATCTCATACAACTACCAAGAGGAAAATCAAGCACTTCACGGATGTGAATTAAACAATCAAGATAAGGGAAATAAACCAGATAATTTTACAAACAAGGAGGGATTTTCTTACTATGAAAAAAGAGTGAGTAATCTGAATTTGAAGAATTTGTATAAGAATTTGTATGTCTCTTTTAATGAATGTCTTTGATGTGGACAAGGTCAGCTCATAGTCAATATCTCGTGAATGTTTATGTCACTAACTGAATATATATATATATATATATTTGTATTTAAATATATTACTTTTCATTTATTTTTATTTATATTTATTTATTTTCTTTTATTTTTAAATACTATCAGATCTCTTTACATTTAGATGAAAATTTTGTACTATTTTTCTACAATTAGAATTTTCTCTAACTACAACTAGATTTTATTTTTTTGTACATATTTTAAATCCATATATTTCCCTATTTCCCTTGACATAACATAACATAACAAAACATAACAATATAACATAACATGACATAACATAACATAACATAACATAACATAACATAACATAACATAACATAACATAACATAACATAACATAACATAACATAACATAACATAACATAAAATAACATAACAATCATTATGATTTCAACTGACATATTTCTTTTTCCAATGACGTTAAACGAATTAATATCTTGTTCTACCTTCTTTTGGAACCCCTTACCAACGAATAAAATCATGTATGAGGAATTTCGAGGAATATTTCAATCGTCTTTAAGGAATTTCCTTGGTGTCCTTGAGAGGGACATCCCCTCAGCGTTCTTTAAGTTAGATAAACAGGCGTTAAGTGGTTGGACCATAGTTACTGTATTTTAATAAATTATAGCATAAACGATAGTGAGAGTCCCATATGTGAAGATGTTCCAAATAAAAATTAAAACCACTAACTCTTGACTTTCGTATGTCGTACAGAAAAAAAAAATTAGAAATCTAGAGATTCTCTACAAGGAGAAGAAAGCTATCAAGCAAAAATGTGTCAGAAAATCAATTTATTGTGGTCTTTTTCCTGATAAAGCTTAAAACCTCAGTGAATTTGTTAAAAAAAAAAAACTTTTAAAGTACAAACTTTTAAAATCTAAAAAATTGGATCAAATAACTCCTTAATCTTATTCCTATTTGTTGCATTGGACCCAACGATTTTTTAGGGTTCTGTTGTATGCCAGTCTTCACCTTGTCTGAATGATGGGACATGCGTGGACTCCTGTTCAAAAGAGGCTGAGTACCAGTGCATCTGTATTGACGGCAGAGTCGGAGAAAACTGCCAGAGTTGGAGCGGTAAGTAAACAAAGGAAGCCAGGTTGGGGAGGGAAAGGAGGGGTGACGGAGTCCGAAAATACTGACAGGGGAGGGGTGAATGCCCTGTTTCTTCCATAACTTATGGCAAAGAACTTCTCAATTGATCACCAACTGAGTAGAGGAATTAACAGTCTATGAGATCAAATTTCCGCAGGCAAGACATCACAAAGTGCCGTCAATTATCGAATTCAACCGAAACATAAATAGTCACGGCATACATGAATAATTTTAAATAGAATGGAGATACACAAGATATGCATCAGACAATACCTGTAATAAATCTTAAATTAAGAGAAATGGCAGTAACTCGTAATATGCGCGTGCCACAGCAACTAAAAAGGTTCCATCGGGATCTTAAAAAGTTTCCAAGAAAAATAATCCCGTTTATTGAGAGGTTATTCTATATAAATGGGATATTCTGTGGTGGAAGGGTACCACTTT